TAGGCCTACTTCAAATTCTTCGTGGTGAGGGAGCTCAATATCGGTTGGTCCCCATTGTATGTGAGAGAGAGTGCTTGTGTGCATTTTTCTTGTGTGTGCCTATAGTGAGATGCGGTTAGTAACGTATCTGACTTGGGAGGTTACCAACCGACGTATACATGCGTAACTGAGTAAGACTTTAGGATAAGATGGAACTGGCAATTTGAGAGACCGAAGAAGTATGCTTTAGGCGATTCCGTAGTGAAGAATGGAAGCGAGTTATCTTCACACCAGCAGTTCTTAATCAAGCTGGATTCAAGACCCCATATAATGAGAATAAAGATAACTAGGTCATGGATCAAACCAACACTAAGAAACTTAGAGTTTGACCATTTTCTAATGATTGTCTATTTAGGGTTATATAGAATCAAGATTGATATATTTTCATAATGCTTAGCACATTGATGAGTATAGAATGAGTAGGGATTGCAATTCTTTTATTATTATCAATTTATACTTATTTTTCTCACATTCTTTCTTACTTTCAGGATTGCCTTAAGTATCAATTTTACATCTTTGACCATTGTCTAAATCTTTATTATTTTTAAAAATTCCTTTATCAAATTTTTTATTAAATTAGATATTTTCTGCCGAGCTGACCGGCCACGAGCCAATATGGAGACAACTAGAAGCCAGCATTATGGCCTTTCTTGAAGCACCGGTACCTGAGACCCTTCCAGAGGGCCTGCGGATTACTTATGGCAGCGACCTCAACTCAATTCCTAAAAGTTCCACTACTCAGAAAACTCCTGGAATGCAGTCAACAGGGCTGACTGATTTACTTGAACGAGCACGGATTCTCAACATACAGCTAAATGAGCAAGTAGCAAAGCGTCTAACACGTCTCAACGACTGTCTCGAGTCGGCTCAGTATCAGGCGGATGCGAACGACGCGCGTGATTGGATGGCTGAACGGCGAGCTTTGTTGAGGGCCGTTGAAAAGGAGATCAGACCAACTCAACTTACACAAAAGACCACGAAGGAAGAAGTAAAATGGATTTGGAAGGACTCTAGTAAGGATGCAGGTGCTACGCAGGTTAGTTTAAAATTATATAATTATATATTTTGGATAGAGAATATAAATCCTTCATATTTAATATATATATTACTATTTTGAGTAGCACATGTATATATTATAATAATTAAATTTATTTATTCAAACTGGTTTTATGCAAAAAAAATTTGATTAAATTTAGGCTCATATCGACAGGCTTTTCATAAAAGACAACTCGCCCTACTCTATTGGAAGCCTAATTTTTTCGGAAGTTCACACACAATAAAATCTTTCCTGGAATTTCAAATTGAGCTATTATTAGTTTGAGACAAAAGGTAGTGTACGCTTGATAAAACCACATCGAGCCTATCTGTTGAACTATTCGAACGTGGCATTAAAAGTACACAAAAGTAGTTTTATCCAGAAACTCCTTAGATCAGAGCCGCTAATCAGCAGATCCCTATGAGCCTTTGCGATTTTCTGTTTCGGAGCTCTGATCCTTTATACTATTATCACACTTCGCGATCGCCTTTGTTTTTCCAACTCTGAATCCTCGCCTGTAGCTTTTTTATTTTATTCAAGTGGGCTTCCATGATTCGTTTTCTTGTTTTACTATACAAGGCTGGGATAATACATTAAGCAGCGTGAAGCCTGATTACATACATTGGGATCCCAACAATACCATTAGAAACTTTATTTTTCTAGCGTGTGATAATGAATATGCCCACGAATAATTTTTTACTCTTCCAATGAATTTATTTCTATATATTTTCTCAAAGTTTGTTTTCGCTTATGACAAGCTCAACCTTGGTTTCTTATATCACCTTTTGGATACATGATAGCGTATAATTTATAGGCAAAATCCGGAATTTTTTCGATTAGATGGGTATATTAGCTGTTATTTATTCTAAAAATCAATGTCT